TGGTGCTATGGGTGAGTAGAGGTTCATGAACCTCGTGCCCTAGCCCCACAACAGCCTGAATTCTGCAAAAGCCTGTGAATGTGTGCTTTTCTCAAAATGGAATTGCTTGAGTACTTCCTACATTGATTCCCTTTGGTCCAAGTTTGGTTTTAATCTACATCAGGGATTTTCTTAAAATTGTAGGGAAGCATGTATTGTCATGCCGTCCGCTACTCCTAGAATGCTGCATCCTTGATATCTGGCAATAATTTATATCGCACGCAATTTCTGGGAGTGTGGTCGGAAGCACACTGGCCCAGAGACTAATTGGGGCAGTTCACCTGGTTTTTGCTTTCGTTCCTACAAAGGACTTAGAAAGCTCCATGACTCGGGCTCTCCTGCTAAGATTCTGAGGTCCTCAGAGACACCACTCAGCCCCACCCCTCCCTGGCTTCTTATGTGCTGCTTTTCAGGGCAGAGATGATCACGTCAAGCACATTTTCACATCCTGGCAGAAGTTTTTAAATGAAGCTAAAATTCTAGACTGGCTTCTAGACTGGCTTACCAGTTACTGAGGGGGATGTCTGGGACACTTCAACTTCTTAGCCAGGAGTTTCAAAAACTTACAAACAAGTGTTCCACTGGCCTTAGTGAAGCAATGTTATGTCACTCTGAATAGCATTTTCTCTGACCCATGACCTGGACTGAACAGATCACTCTCCTTTCCAATATTAATTCTATGGGAAATTACCAAGTCAAATGTGAAATTGCCTGCCAAATAAACTCTCATTCTCCAGAAAGCTCCCCAGTAAAACAAACTTAAACAGAATGTGCTCTAGCCACGTTTACACTGTGTCTGCATTTTAACTAACATTAACTTGATCCACGCACACTGAACTTCAGGAAGATTAAGCAGAAAAGCAGATACAGCAATGGAAGCCATACTTCTGCCTGTTCTCTCGTTCAGATCTAAGCTTCTCCGTTTTCTCATAGCCAGGCAGAGAGGTACATATCTGTGATTCCAATAGTAAGGAAGGGGGTTGAGGCAAGAAGATCAGGAGCTCAGTGCTAACCTGGGCTACATGGCTCAGTCCCAACAAAAATATGTCTTCGTGCACCTATGATTAGAAGGAAATTCTCCACTCTGTTCCTTACAGCAGGTCAGGAAACTACTTCTGGATTCTTTCTGTCTGAATCAGTCCAGCTTTCCCTACCTCTCCCCCTGACAAGCTCACACCTAAGTAGAATACCATAGCAAAATACCTCAGGCTGAGTGCCTTAAACAGTAGAAACTCATTCACAGTTTGGGAGCTAGCGGTTCACGCATAAAGAGATGCCAGACTTGGTTTCTCCTGAAGTTTCTCTCTGAACTTTGTCATAACCTTGCCTTTTCTCTACAGACGCCATACACCAGGTGTCTCTTCTTCCTCATTCTCCTCCTCTTCCCCTAATTCTCCCCCTCCTCGTTCTTCCTTCCCTCATCCTTCTCCTCTTTCTCCCACCCCCCCCCCACTTTTGAGACATGGTTTCCCTGTGTAGCCCTGGCTGTCTTGGAACTCACTCTGCTTCAGAATCATAGAGATCCACCTGCCTCTGCCTCCTTAGCACTGGCATTAAAGTCTTGGAGCTCACAACACATCGTGGTATATTTTACAGTATTAGTAGGTATCTAGTCTCTGAGCGGCTCTTTTCCTCAAGCGCAGTGTAAACCTCCTTGGTGAAAACCCTTGTTTTAAGACTCTGTGATTATAGCAATCAACTAATTGGTCTTAATCACTATCAGAATTTTGTTTACAAATGTCCTGTGGGAAACGCCTTGGTGGGGGTAATGATCCGCACAGCGGCTTCTTCCTGATAGATGGGGCAGGAGAATTCCTAAAGTTTCTTAAAAATAAGTTCGTTTATTTATATTCCATTGACTGTCCTCGAAAATTCTGTCCCCAGGGAGTCTCAACCATTTGTTAATGTCTACATGAAAGCCTCTCTAGAAGGCTGTATTGATCTGGCTTTTGTTGCTATCGTGAAATGTCCAAGGCTGAGAGCTTTATAAAAAAAAATTATCTTGTTTGGTTTACAGTCCTGGAGGCTGTAAGTCCCGGATTGGGTAGTTCCCTTGATTTGGTCTTTCTTGAAGTCTTGATGGCACTTGGCATCATGGCAAGAGAACACGTGGAAGAAATAAATCATATCTCACGTTAGAAATCCGGAGAACATTCAAGGACCAGGCTCAAGTGTCTATGCTAAGTCAATCTTGTGAGAACTCATGGGCTCCATGAGACCTACGGTAATTTCTCTCCTGAGAGCATGTCCCTGCAGTGACCTAAGGGCTTCCTGGCAGTCTTCACCCTTGGAAGCTTCCACAGCGTTTCTCAGCATAGCTACACTGAGGACCAAGCCTCCAGCACACAAGCCTTGTGGGACACACCACATTTAAACAATAGACGTGGGGGGTGGGCAGTCCTAACATCTCGGACTCCCAGACACCACTCATTTCCATATCTGCACCTAGTAGCACCTACCCAGGAGGGGTCTAGACCTGGCAATTTATCTTATTTTATGCTATGGCTGAGGACACAGAGGCTGAGGGCAATAAGACAATTGTCAAAGTCCTTCCTGGAAGGGCTCCAAGTAAGTTCTTCTGACTCCAAGGTCAGCAATGTTTTCCTTCCAATAACCCATTATCCCTCATTATGTGAAATTAGAAATATCAAGGGTACACTAACCCATGCAACGGAGTAAACATAGTTTCTCTTGTGAAATCTGAGAAATCCAAACAGCCTATCTTTTGGTACCAAGTGACCTACCCCACAATTCTGTTGGCTTATAAAATGCTCAAATGCTCAAGTCCTATGTTTAGATAGAATTCTCAATGGATATATTCTTCCTTCTATTTAAGCGCAAATGGAATCTCTCAACATCAAGTGGAAAAACCGTCTAAATGTGTCCTTCAGTCAGCTACAGGACAGTGGAATGATGTAAGTGGATTTCACGATCTGAAAATTCTTCCCCGAAACCACGGGTTTACTCCTAAGGTGTAAGATGAATCATGCCCAAAGGCGTCTGTGCATAAACACGAGTCTGGCTGGCCACGCTACATCTAGCATCGCCTCTAAAAGCAAACAGAAGGGCAGACTTTCCAATCAGATCATGTATTTGCCTGAAAATCTATAGACAGAAGGTATGTGTGGCCTCTTCCTCTGACTAGCCTTAGTGGCAAAATTAGGGTGAGATCTTTGCGTGCTTGGAGCGATAGTCTCTCCCCGTGGGATAGTTTTCTCTCTTGAGAATACTGGGACACAGAGCCTGACGTTGTAGCACATGTATGGGATCACTTAGCCCATATCCCCTAGAGATCCAGAGCGTGGAAAGAAGGTGTGTGTTTGCTTGACGGAGGTTTCATGAAAATTCATCCTTGTGCCATGTCGGGTATGTGGCTCTGGAAAACAAAGTCCAGCCACATCACTAGCTGCATGTCCGTGTGGGCTTGCAATAGGCCCTCTTGACGGGCTGGAGTCAGACTTGATAAACTGGATTTTGTTCATTCTGCACTGCAATTGAAAAAAAGCTGCACGTGGCAGCTTATGAATTGTGTCTCCCAGCAGGCGCTGAAAGACAAGTGGAGAGGGGGTGGCCAGTGTGTGTGAAGCCCCCCCTGCAGAATTGGCTTGGGACATACAATAACATCTATGTGTAGCCCAGAAGCCTGCAGACTGCTTCCCAGTGAGCAAGCGACCACGGGCAAGCAGGCCGAGGGAAGGTCAGAGAAGCTTTTGTTAACTGTTTATCTTAGAGACTGGTTTGTCTGTTGGGGGGAAAACAAACAAAGTCCTTGCTTGTGTGCGGCAGCCTAATTTTTTTCTCCCCCATATCTCCATTTCTAATTCTCCAAAGTATCTATTCCCTTTAATTTGAGGAGTCAGTTCAAGGTGAGTTTGTGTACACCTGGGGCAAGACAGAAATCCCAGGGTGCTCAGCCCCTTCCTGTTACCATCCTTTACTGAAGTATTTCAATAGCCAGAATGCACAGCTAAAGATACCAGTACCAAGTGTTCAGACTTCTTTGGCTTTGGAGTTTTGTAAAGCTATCTAATGAGATATCAGTTCTCAGGTCTTGTTTGGCAATGTCATTTCAAAGTTCTCCCTGAGTTCAGGGCAGGTAGTGAAGTCCAGCCATGACTGCATGCTTAGCCTCCCTGGATAGCTGGTTGGCAAAAGAAAACCCCAAACTTTCTGGACACCTCTTGCTGGTTTTGCAAAGTTAGATGAGCAAAACAGAAGCTGGGAACCCAGGTGCAGGAGCAGGAAGAGGCTGTAGGATTTATCACGCGGAGGCTCAGTTTTCTGGAATCACCTTTGGCATTCTGGCAATCCTAGGCAGAGGGAGGTCGTCTTTAGCCAAATCCACTTTTCCCAGATGAGCAGCTGGAATTCTATCTGCTCATTAGGGGTTGTGCTTACTTTTTGCCATTCCCCTGTCCCTCGTTACATAGATGGTAGGCAATCTTAATTCCACAACAAAAATGATTCATCTCTGTATCATGTTACCTGGCCCAAAAAGGCCAAAATAGAGAGTAGAGAATACTGGAGCGTGAACTAAAATGTCCCTTCCAAGCTGTCTAGAAACAAGGTTCCCTGCCTGAGCGTAATTGTCACAGTTTTCCCATTGATAAGTCAGTCTGCAAGAATCCAGGCATCAGCAAAGGCACAGAGGGACTTAGTGTGGGTTCACAGAGCCCTATCCATCTTCTACACCTGAACTTAGAAAATGCAATGTTATTTTTTTTTAATCTCTGGAACAAGCAACAATAACCACTTTTAAAAATCTCCAACTTGCATCTATTGTTATGGTCATCTCTTCTGTTTATAGACAATCCGAAACAGTTCCCTGGGAGGACGTTCGTGGGAAAACACAACTGTGACAAAAGGAAAGCCTTAGCTGCGACCATAGGTTCTTGCCTGTCTTTGATGCCAGAGAACAGCTGTGCCCTCCCCTCCCAGAAGTGGACGTGGTAGGTACTCACCTGTCATTAGAGTGTAGTAATTGGGATAGGAGAGGCTGGGGAAGTCCGGAGTCAAGTAATCCACTTTGACTCCCCTGCTCACAATCTCTCTGAAGCCAGGCAAGGATGCCAGGACCTCCTCACTGATGTAGTCTGAGCGAAAGCCGTCCAGGAGAAACACCAGGAGCTTCCGGTGGGCAGAAGCTGGCCAGACCAGGCTGAGCCCAAACACCAGCAGGACGGCCCCGAGCTTTACTGCCATGCTGCCAGGGGCCTGTCAGAGCTGGCTGGCACCACTGTCCCCTGTGAAGCCCGAGGATGGAGAGCCTGGAGCTGTTCTCTAGTCTAGGGGCTGGACCTTGAGCTGCTGCTCTTCCTAAGCCAACTTCACTTGTGGGGATTTAAAGGAACAGCACTCCATTTTTTAAAAACGTTCCTGTTCACCCCTACCAAGTCCAGAGACTGACCCCTCTGCATAGGCTGTGCTCTCTGACACCCTAGAATTAACACGAAGGGAGAAAGCAAAACCTCGCTGTTTTGGTGAACGGTCTATAAATATAAACATCCGTGAAGAAGTGAAGGCTTGGAAGATGACAAAGTCAACTCTTAAATTTGCAATTGTGCTGACCAAAGGGAGGAGCTGGGGAGAAGGGAAGTCTTTGAACTTGTGCTGCCTGATTTAAACCTTCTGACCTCTTCTCTTAATCATTCAGTAACCCCAAACTCTTAACTTAGAATATAAACTAGAGGGTGTGAACATTTACACGGGCTCTGGTGAGCTATGAAGTCCCGTCACAGCCATAGACTTTGAAAACAAATGACTTATCTAGGTCTCTTCCGTTGAATTTTGTCTTCATATGCCCGGAAATGCAATGCTATTGTTTTATTTTTTCAGATGCAAATAAACTATTGGTGCCTAGCACTCACCTGGAAGAGGCGTTGCTAAACAGAGATGCTACCAGAGGAGCCAGAGAGAAGATTCTACAGCTGGATCTGAAGAGGTCAGACCTAACAGGTTCATCTTGGGCAGCATTGCCCACGAGGCTGAAACAGAGATGGAGGATGCCACTTTGACATGGAACAAGAACTTGAAACAACCAAGCAAGTCCAACATAGGAACAAGTAGTCAGAGGAGCCTCTCCCAGGAGGAGGGCTAGGAAGGGGAGAAGGTACAGGTCCTCTAGGAGATAGATGGTCAGGACGAAGTCCCCAGGTCACAGGAACTCTCTACAGTGGTTCTTCCATCTGGGGCAAAACTAAACAATACGTTTATGTAAAAGCTAATAAAATATGTGTAGCCACAGAAACACCTTAGAAAATATTGGGTTGTGTTGGCATTATAGGGAAGCTTGGATCCTGAGGAGCCATGCAGGCGTGGTCAGCCTGCGGTCTCCCTCATCTCCACGGCACTGACCAGCCGCTTGCCTTCTCCCGCTTCACCGTTCCCTCGTGTTGAAAGTCAAACCTTCACGTGGCACCACGGATAAAAAGAAATTAGTCATCCAGGCAGTGGTGGCACACACCTTTAATCCCAGCACTTGGAAGACAGAGGCCATTGGATCTCTATGAGTTCGAGGCCTGCCTGGTCTACAGAGAGAGTGCCAGGACAGGCTCCGAAGCTACACAGAAAAACCCTGTCTTGAAAACAAACAAACAAACAAACAAAAAGGAATTGGCCAACTGACATTTCAGTTGACTTGGACAAGAATGAAACTTTTTTTCTCCAATGAAAGAAAATGCTTTTATAATTAAATCCACTTTTTTCTTTTTAAAAATAGAAAAAGGGTAGTTTATCCTTAATGTGTATTAGTTTGGAAACACAATTTTATTCTTGCTTTGTTTTTCAAGACAGGGTTTCTCTGTGTAGCCTTGGCTGTCCTGGAACGCTCTCTGTAGACGAGGTTGGCCTTGAACTCACGGAGGTGTACCTTCCTCTGCCTCCGGAGTGCTGGGATTAAAGGTGTACACTACCACCACCTGGCTTTCCAATTTTAGTCTTATCTATTTGAATAGTCATATATTGTTGTTTTACTAAATAGAAAAGATGAGAGATGTGAAGGAAGGGGACAGGGAGGAAAAGAATGAAGAATTGAAAGGAGTAGAGAGGAGGAGAGGGAGGGAGGGAAGGAAGGAGGGAAAGGGGGAAGGAGGGGGGAGGGAGGGAGGGAGGGAAAGGACGCGTACTAATAACTGGTGGGGGCCCAGCCATGGGCATTACACATCTAAAAAGAACTCCCTACAAAGAAGCCCAAGGAAGCTGCAGACTCAGCTGGACCCTGAAGCCTGAGTTTTGCTAGCCGGGCAAGTCCACATATTTGCCTTGGTGTTACCCCAGCTTAGCTCAGGAGAGAATCAGTGGTCAGACTTTGGAAACAAGCATAAAATGACTGTGGCATTTCTCTGCCCTGTTAAGAGAGCAGGCGAGCTCGCTGCCTAGTTTGACTTTTCACTTTCGCCTTTTTATCTCTGCAACATTGTTATGTTATTATTGTTAAGAATGTAACACTTAACGTAGCCACATTTTCTGTTTCAGCTTCTTCAGCTCTCACTAAAATATCAAGTAATTCTTCTGCTCTTGGCAACATCTACAAAACCTGGCTTCTTATAAAGAGAATTTTTATGTTTTATCAAGATAATTGTGTTTCCCACTAAGCTTGTCAAATTTACACTTAGGAAATTGAGTATATATATCTACCTCGCTTGCCTTTCTTTTTCAGTCTTGGTAATATAGTTCCCAGGATTATTTATTCAATTTTCAGTTTACACACTGACTCCTTTGTAGTCCTCTTAATTTCCTCAGTGTTTGTCTTTCAATATGTTGGTTTTATCTCTGCTTTGGGTCTTGTCTTACAACTGTTTAAATTATATTATTTTAATTAATAATTAATTAATTATGTGACCTTTGGGAGGGGTCACAGATCAGATATTCTGCATAGCAGACATTTACATTGCAATTCATAATAGCTGCAAAATTATAGTTATGAAGTAACAATAAAGACAATCTTATGGTTGGGGATCTCCACCACATGAGGAACTGTAATGCAGGGTCACAGCATCCGGAAGGCAGAAAACCTCTGCCATATAGGAACACTGCTTACTGCCTTCTCCCTCACAGTATCTCAGCTTGCTCTCTTATACATCCCATGACCACCTGTCTAGAACTGGCACCACCCACACTGGGCTTGACCCTCCCACATTGATCATTAATCAAGAAAATGTCCTCCAGGCTTGCCTGCAGGCCAATCTACAATTCCCCAGTTGGGCTTCCCTCTTTCCAAGTGATTCCAGTTTATGTCAAGTTGACAAAGATCAACCAGACCAATTACTAACTGGGTTCATCTGTCCAAAATAAAAACCTAACATTCCAGAAAATGCTTGCAGGAAAATAGAAGAGACTACATTAAGACTTTACATTTTCTTTTCAGAAAAGAACCTAAGAAAAAGTCTCAGATAAGTAAATCTAAACCCATGGTCCACATGGCTTCTGATTCTGGCTTTTGGAATCATTCCACTGGGGAGTCAGCTGGTACCACTAATACCTTACCTTTGACCCAGCAGGCAAATCTGGGATCCAAACTGAGAGAACCATTTTTTCCCCTAACAGTCCTTCCCATCCAGCAATTACCCAAGACAGGACCGGATCTGAGAGACACAAGTCTGCCTTTTTATCTACACAGATTGTGGAGGACCGCCCATTTCAGGCCCTGTCACTGCAGACATGTCTCTGCGTACTCCTAGAGAGAGCAGTGTGGGCCACTTTGCTACAATTCCTGGATAAGGTGTTGGGATATTTAGAGTACAATAAATCTGCCCCCTGCCCCCAGGAAGGGAAGGCTTCCAGATATGAAAGCAGAGACCTTTCCCTCCTGATCTCTCAATGGAATTCAATTTGGAAATTCAACCTTGAATATTTGTGACGTAGAGTGATTCTAACTCTGAACATCAACTTTCTTTAAAAGTGGGGGAGGTGGGTGGGGGACTTGGAGATGAAAAAATGGTTCAGTGGTTAAGTGCACTGACTTTTTAACCAGTGTAGGAAACCAGCATAGAGACAGCGAAAATAGTATAAAGCCCACCTTAAATGTAGGCAGGCACAATGGACCCTCCAGACATTGTCCACTCTCATCTTGAGTGCTCCACCAGAATGTTCTTTGGCCATACCCACTCTCAGCCTCTTCTGGTCTGATTGACAGCCCTCACTTAGCTATCCACAACCATCTGTAACTCTAGTCCCAAGCATCCAATTCCCCATCTGGCCCCCACGGGCATCACACAACCATGGTCCATGGATATACATATAGGTGAAACACTCATATGTATAAACTAATAAAAACAATTTTTAGAAAGGGTCTTACTTTGTGTGTTGTTTCCAATATACAAAAGCAAGGAAGTATTTCCTTTAGAGAAAATCGTGTGTAGATATACCTCGATTTATGACAGTATTATATTCCAAAACTCCAAACCTATGAGGCAGAAGTATCAAAGGTTGAAAATTCAATCAATACTTTAGACCTACTAAACACAACTTAGCACCACAGTGCCCCACAGGGTATCATTACGTCACATCAGTGATCACAGAGTGTCTGCCACCCTGCTATGGCTTCCCATCAGCTCTTCAGTCTTTGTGAAAGACTGTTGAAAGAATTTAGATGAGACAAATAGAACACGGTCTAAAAGATATGCTGGGTTTGTTATAAAATGAAGTACTCACAAGGGCTGAAAGTAGGCAATGGCAAAATGAACCCTTGTACAGGGCAAACTCTCAGGGCTGAGAGCGGGTGTGACCTCAGAACATTCTGATAGAGCACTGTGGTAGTCTGAATGTAACTGGCCCCCATAAGTTCAAAGAGAGTGGCATTATTAGGAGGTGTGGCTTCGCTGGAGTTGGTGTGGCCTCAAAGGAAGTGTATCACTGCTGGGGTGGGCTTTGAGATTTCCTTTGCTCAAGCTACACTCAGTGTGACACTCAGACTCCTTCCTGTTGCCTGCAGATCAAGCTGTAGAACTCTCACCTACCTCCCAAGCACCTTGTCAGCCTGCAGCCCACCATGCCTCGGCCATGACAATAATGAACTAAACCTCTGAACTGTAAGTGAGCCTCCATTAGTTGCCATGGTCACGGTGTCTCGTCACAGCAACAGAAACCCTAACTAAGACAAGAACTCTTTCAAAAGGACGAAAGAGGATAAGGTCATTGTGCTAGCCTACATTTTTGGAAGACCTCACACTATTTCCAGTCTCTATGTCAGTTTCTACAGAGGCATTTTCCTGGCAAGTGATTAACAAACTCTTTAGAATT